ACATCCAGTCTCCCCTGGACAGTCAGCCAGAGTGGTATGGGGCTTAGGAGACTCGTCTTGGGCACGAGGCAGGCCTGGCTCCTCTGTGACCTGCTGTTCCACCTTAGTCATCCCATTTAGCTGAGCCTCAGTGGCCCCTCGAGTGACAATATTACATTTTCTGGCATCGTCACTAGTGATGGTCACCAGATAATCCTTGGTCTCTCCCATTCTGGGTATGTGGCAGGATATCTGTCCCTCTGCTCCAGCAACTGGAGCTCTCCCAGGTAGGAGTTACTCCATCAGTCCTCAGGCAACCATGGTGGACGTTTAGATGAGTCAGAAGTAAAAGGCTGTCATTTTAAGCCACTGAGATTTTGGGGCTGTTTGTTGCCACCAAAAGCTTAGCCCATCTTGGCTAACACATTCTTTGTGGGGATGTTGGGGAGGTTAACGCAGCCGATACATAGAAAGCACTGAGCATGTTTCTATCCATTGCAAACACTCAATGCTGGGCAGTGTTTTCTCTTTTTCTTCATCTTGTTGTCCCACGGGCATCTCAACCTCCACATGTCCACATGGAGCTCAGGCTCCCACCCACCAAGGCCAAAACTATACCTCCTTTTGCTCTCCCTGCAGTGAGACTAGCGCCACCTTCAAGTCGCTTGTAAAAGTGCCCACCTGAGAATCATCATCTTGACTCCCTTCCTCTCCCTCCACATCCAATAAATGGACAAACCCTTCTAATGCTTCGTGGTTCTTTCCATTCCTTCTCCGTTTCCTCCAACATCCTCTTAGTTCAGGCCCACCTTACTCTGCATTTCATTTCATGCAGTAGCTCACTAGCTAGATTTTCTGCTTTTTTTATGTCCCCATAATCTGTTCTTCACCCTAATAGCACGGATCTGATCACATCACTATTTAATTGATCTGCTCATACATCCAGTCACCTTCCTCCCACGCATCCATCCTTCATCACCATCCACCCCACCCCACCCACACCTGTATGTGACTATCAGAGGATAGTCACATCCACTGCTGACAGGATAAAGTCTAAACTCCTGGGAGTGGCGCACAGGTCTTCACGCCTCAGCCCTGCCTATGTTTCCAACCTCACTTCTTGTCACTCCACAGATAACACCCTGCATTCCAGCCATGCTCAGCTAGCTGCACATGCTCGAATAAGTCACCCTTGCTCCTACCTCCGTTCCTTTGTGCACACTATCCCCTGGGTTTGAAAACTTAAGACTGGGTTCAGGGCCCATCTCCTTTTAACAGAGCGAGGTATCTTTGCACATGTCCATTATCACACTGCACTGTAAATGGTTGATTTTCCATTGTGACCAGTAGGCTGTGAGCCGCTCGAAGCCAGGGACTGGCTCTTTCCCATCTCGGTGTCTTCAGTGTCTAGCACAACGTGTGACGCCCAGACACTTGATACATCATTGTTGAATGGATGGATGAGTAGGTGAGGCCAGGCCAAGGACTCACAGATGAAGGAGGGAGGATGGGTATTCAGTGGCCACCATGCCTCCGTAAGCCACAGAGCACCAGCTTGTATGGCCATGATACCATTCCAGACACGTTCAGGTGCTTGGGGAAGGCTTGCTGCCAAAGACAAATGCCTGGCAGGGCTGCCTGGTGGGTGTGAACGGGGTTGACTCGCAGCTGTGTTCTCTGTTGCCAGAGTCTCCCACACTCCAGCCCTGGCCGTTTTCCAGCTGAAGGATCTGGTCAACTTTCCTTCAGGAATTGCCAACTTTCCTTCAGGAGCCGAGGACAGCAGAAAATTCAAGCTGATATCCTCCCTTCTGGATTTTTATTTTGGGGACATACCCTTATAATATTGGTGATGTCAATAAGAAATCCACGAACCCACACGGAAAAGCAGAAGATGTAAGGTGAGAGCTGGAGGTCAGGGCCATGATAATGAGGTTGTATCTCAATGCTTTGAACGTACATGCCAGTGGGACTGAAAGGCCTTATAGAAATGATGGGGAATGATTGTCAGAAGTCTTGGTACTTAGGGAACAACAGGGGGTTCTGAGGTTGGAGAGATGGTTATCTCCTGATTGTCACACCTGGGAACAGGGCACTTTTGAAAATGATAACATGGCTCATGTGATGTATGATGGACAATTCTGGAGCAGGTTGTTTCTACCTGGGAGGTCAGTGCACGTGACGGAATGTGCAGTTAGAGCTTGGCCATCCCACCTGGCATCAGGACTGAGTGTGTGTAGACAGAAACATGTTGCATAGGAGGTAACAAAACAGATTTGACAATCATGGAAAGAAACTGACACCCGGATAATTTATTTGCACATTGGTGTTGATCCTAATACTCTTATCATCACTCTCTGGGTCTCCCTATCCCCCTTCCAGGCTCCACCCCCACTCAATTAATTCACTTTCACCAAAGAGCCTTCCAAGAATGATGCCAACTCTATATGGTGTTCTTCTGCACAGAAATTTGCATGATGGGAGGTTAGGGGGCTGCACCAAAATAAAACAAAACTGTTCTTACACAGTTACATCTTCCTGCCAGGCTTTGCCATGTCTGAGCTGGTAGTGACTACACCAAGATTCCCAGAAAAGAAGATTAAAAGAGGTTTTATAGACCCATGTGTGGTGCTGAGAATTGATGAAGTGATATATGTCTATGTATGTATCTATATGTATGTGTATATGTATTTTTGTATCTGTCATCTATCTATCTATCTATCTATCTATCTATCTATCTATCTATCTATCTATCTATTTATCTATCTATCTATCATCTACCTGTCATCTACTTAGTGTACTTAATATGGGCCCAGTAGAATGATGGACTCTAAAGGATTTCCAACAAAAAAGGACATCTCATGGCTTCTCTAGGAAAATTGAGGATCATCTGGTCCAACCCTTGCATGTACCATTGAGAATACTGAAGAGTAGAGAGGACAGGTGCCTTGTGCCATATTGAAGAGCCGGGACAGCATTTGGGATGCTTGTCTAGGCATTTTTCTCACTATACCACTGTTTCACTTTGTTGTGGAGACAAGTTTAACCCACGAGAAAGTGTGGAAGCATCCTTGACTCCTTTCCTTCTCTCATATCTCAAATCCAATCTGTCAAGAAATCTAGTTGGCTCTTTCTTTGAACTCCATCCAAAGTTGGATGGCCACTTCTCGCACTATCCAGGGCTTCCTTTCTGGCTGGCATGAGCTTCTGTCATCTCCCTGGGATTACTGCAAGACCCTCCTGACCCTTCTCTTTCCTCTCACTATTGCCTCCCTTACCATCTATTTTCCAAGTAGGCATCACATCACTGATCATTTAACATGTCAAGTCATATCTATCCTCTGCACGGGCCCCCCTGAATCTCCTCACTGCACTCAGCGGGAGCTTACGTTCTCACATGGCCCGCTGGCCCTCCATGACCCACCTGGAGCACCTCCCTCCCTGTATCTCCTAAACTCACTTGCACTTGGAATTCTTTCTTGCTCTCACTACTCATACCACAGGGGCTTCCTTGCTCCTGGTAGGAACACACCAGGCCTGTTCCTCTGCCCACATGGTTTGTTCCTTTACTTCCTCAAAATCTTTGCTCCATGTCACCTTCTCAGTGCAGCCCACTTGGACCACCCTGTTAAAGTTGGACCTCACCTTTCTCCAAGCTCTCCTGAGTTTTCTTCCTATCATACTTATCACCACCTATCAGATAGCCTATTCATTTACTAAGTTTATTTGCCAATATCTCGCACTGGAATGGAAATCCACAAAAGTATACATTATTCACTGATGCACTCCAAGTTCATAGAAAGATGCCCGGCACATAATAGGTACTCAATAAATACTTGTTGAATGATGGAAAGAAAGAAATAGAGACCAGTGTGAGGCAGGCCCCTGCAGAGCTTTAGTTTTCAATTCGGTTTCTATTTTACTTGTCTTGTTCAGTGTGTCCACCATGGAGGAGCTCTCTCACCTTCCTGCACACTCAGCTCTTCCCGACCAGTGAGAGCAAGTGTGGGAGTTGTGCTTCTGTGGCCATCCATGAGTGGCCTCCTCAGAAAGCCAAGAGCACTCCCTCTACCTGATCAGTTGTCTTTTCCTCCTTTGCCATGAATCTTTCCTGCCTTTGTCTGGTCTCCCTCACAGGCAAACTCTGCCCACCCAGCTTGATTTCCCACAGCATCTAGATTAGTGCTTTGTTCTGGTGTTACCTCAGCACTTGCCTGTGAATGAAGGCACCTCCTCCAGCCCAGCTCCTCCTGGGCCTGGCACATGGTGGAGGGTCCACTAATATTTGTGGACTAGATGAAGAATCTCTCCAGATATTGGCCATCTCTTTTGTGTCCAGTCTATTCAATTCAAGCAAGGCTTCCTGATAACCTAATATGTGCTGGTTGCTGTGAGGGATATAAAAGTAGATAAGATATGATTTCTGATTCCAGGGGGAAGTACCAACTGCAATGACTCTACTATAAGACGGGATGTAGTTCAGAACAGTACCATGGAAAGGCTTGCAGAGGCTCATTCCACATGTGCTCATCTTAGGAGAGGAGCCAGGTGTTCTTGGAGCCTTACAGGGGAACCATGGGATCTGCCTGAAAGGGTGGGCCAGTTGGACCTTGGCGGGACATGGGACCCTGTGAGTCTCAGGCACGTGCTGGCCCAGGCCTCCACTTGCCTATGTGGGCTAATGACCCAAGGTCTGCTCACGTGGCTGGATGGGAATGAAGGCTGAATAGATATGTCTAGGCCTGTGCGGTTGAACAGGCAGGGGACAGGTTAGTTGGGATGCAGGGTCTCCTTGATATGCTATTAAAGTTGGCAAGTTTCAGCTTTCCTTCTCAATTTTCCCCTGGGATGATTCCCAGGCTCGTAAATGGCATTAATAACTTTCTCCTGCCTTTTATGTGGCCGGGAACCTGTCGTCTGCCCTATAAGAGGCAGGAGCACTAACTGGTCTCTGGTGTGAGAAGTGGAGGTGTCCTTCTGTCCCCTCCACTTTCTCTGGCACTGCCCTGCAGAACAGAGGCATGGCAAGCCGTTCCTACTGCACCAGCTCTGGCTATGGGGTCAGGAATTTCAGTTCCTGCTCCGCTGTCATGCCCAAGCTGGGGGCTCACAGCTGTGCCAGTGCCATGGCCTACCACGGGGGCAGTCCTGGGGGGCGGGGCTACAGGCACCTCGGGGGCTTTGGCAGCCGAAGCCTGTGTACAGTGGGGTCCCCACGGATCGCAGTGAATTGTGCACGGCCTCTACGCAGTGGGGGCAGCTTTGGGTACCGGGCCGGGGGCCTGTGTGGGCCCAGCCCTCCCTGCATCACCACCGTGTCTGTCAACGAGAGCCTCCTCACACCCCTCAACCTGGAGATCGACCCCAATGCGCAGTGCGTGAAGCATGAGGAGAAGGAGCAGATCAAGTGCCTCAACAACAGGTTTGCTGCCTTCATCGACAAGGTGGGTCTGTCGGCTGTTCCCTGGGGCTGTGGCTTAGGAACCGAGAAGGGACTCGGAACCCAGTGACGGGCTGGGTTCAAATCCTTGGGGTCCCAGCCTTGCTACTGATTAGCATATGACCTCGAGAATGTGACTGAATCAGGGTCTTGGTTTTCAAATGTGAGAGTCAAATGCAAAATGGATGTGAAACCACCAGCCAGAACAGGAAGGTTTATTGCTGCTGCTTTACTCTGCCCAGCAAAAGCTGAAGGTGTGTCTGAGGCCCCATCCTCTGGACCTCAGCCATCACACAGTGCGTGGGATGGAGCGGGTGGGTATCTCTGCTTAGGCTGGTGTCTGACCCCCGACCTGGAGGAGATGCTGCCACCCCCAGCACGGGAAGGGGAGCCAGGACAAATGGGGGCCAGAAGCTCCTTTCCTGCTCCTTCCTGGTGGGGGCGTCATAGGAAGGCTGTGAATTCCCAGGACTTCTGCCCCGGGTGCCCTCTTTCAACCAACAGTTATATAAAAGACAGTGAGCTGAGAAACTTAAGGGAGGTCCACGGAGGGGCGGTTGAATCACGCTTTTCTGATGTTGCAGTTTCTGAGCCTTCCTTCTGGTTGGATATGCAGCTCTGGTTTTCTTTAACCCAATGACACCCCCTCTGAGAGCCCGCAATCTGATCTTTGGGGAGAACAGCCACTGCGGTCCAATGGAGGAAAGGCTCATCTCACAGGGCTGAGTGGTGTGCACATCTACACCCAGAAGGTGCACCCTGGGTGATGTGTGTGTGTGTGTGTGGGGGGGGGCGGGGAGCTTTGCTCTCACACAAACACCACCATCAGAAATAGGCATATCTGCAAGTGAAGGTGCTGGACATCCATTTTTAACCTGCTGTCCAAACCACTCTTTCTTTCCATCGGCACAAAGAAGCTGGTTGTAGGATCATGCAGGTTATTCAGTGCACAGGGACACCCATCAAGAGGGACGGGGTCGGGGGGGGGGGGGGGCTGAAATCCAGCCCGTGTTCTGCTAGTTGTGCTGTGTGCTCTGGCAGGGGCCACATCTGCCTGGAGGGGGAGCCTTTTCCTCATTTGCTCACTAGCACAGTGAGGACCCTGAGCGTGCAGACTCAAAGGAGTCTTTACACGTGGCCCTTTGGGCATCACCCAGGTATACTGCTCTCTCTGTTGGGAAGGGTCAGTCCCTCCCTGGGGTTGCTGACAGCCACTTGCCTCCTTCCAACATTCTATCTTCAGGATGAGCTCTAGGTGTACAAAGTGCATCAATGTGGTGGGTTTAAGCCTGCAAGACAAGCAGGTCAGAGAGCTGCTCTCACGACCTGCGTCTGTATGTGGAGACCCAAAGCAGACGCCTTTTGGATAATCAGGATTTTGGTTTCCTTTTCCCATAAGCACAGGCCAATGCGAGTTGCTTTATACCAGGCTCGTCCTCCCAGAAGGTTAGGGCTTGAGAGATCAATCACTTAGTTTAGGACTGGCGACTGCATGGTACTTGATGAATGAAGCCAAGCTGAGAGGCATGCTACCATTCAGCTCCAGAGAGTCTGGTTTGTCAAGGTCAGGGTAACCCAGGTTCTTGCCTGGAGTCACTCAATTATTAAATACTATTGGCAGTAATTCAGATTTTTATAAAACAGTGTGCAGGCCAAAATAAAACATGCCTGTGGTCCAGATAAGGCCTGGGGGCTGCGAGTGTAAATTGTTGATGTGTTTCCACTGCCTCAGCTTACAGTGAGGCTCAGAGAGAATGAGGCATAGTGGCCTGGTTGGTGGCAGAGTTAGGCAGTGAGAGATCTCCTAACTACTGGTCCAGAGTTCCCCATCCTGGGCTTCTGCACCCCAGAGGCAGAATGAGGGAGAATCACAGAGAGTGCATTTTTAAATCACCGCCATAAATATACCCACCAACTTAGCAACTTAAAGCAACACAACTTAATTATCTCATGAGGCTGAAATCAAGCTAACAGCAGGGCTGCATGTCTTTCTGGAGGCCCTGGAGGAGACCTGTTTTCGGGGGCAGTCTGGTTTTTGGCAGGATTGAGTCCCATGTGATTGTCGGACTGACGTCCGCATTCCCTTGCTGGCTGGTTGTTGTTCTTAGCTTCTAGAGGCTGCCTGCCTTCCTTGACTCATGGCCCCTTCTCCTTCCATTTTCAAAGCTGGTCATAATGGTTGAGTGCTTCTTGCTTCTCATGTTTGAAATCCCTCCTCTGCCTCCTTCTTCTCAGCATCTGTCTCATTCTTCTGCTTTCCTCGCCCAATTTGAAAGGCCCACATGACTACTGTGGGACCCATCTGGATAATTTAGGGTAACCTCCTGATCTTCAGGTACATAACCTTAATTCCATCTGCAAGGTCCCTTTTGCCACATAATGTAACAAATTCACAGGTTCCAGGGATTAGGACGTGATCTTCTTTGAAGGGACACTTTTGGTCTACCACACATGGCTTGTGGTGTTTTCACAGGATTAGATGTCATTTCATTCTGTGCAGAACAAACAGATCACAAATAAATTGTGTACTCTTTCTGGGAGTTGATGATGAAATAAGGGGTGGTTACTGGGGAAACAATTGCGAACTGTATTTTCAGACTTTGTAAATGATTTGGCCTTTGGGAGAAAGTCACAGGCTACTGCAGGTCAGGAGCCAACCCCAAGGGCAGAGAGAGTTCTGGGGGGACCTGGCACCTCCCCAGACTCTTCCCTGAGTCTTTTCCCCCCCACCCTGGGCTGTAGGTGCGCTTCCTGGAGCAGCAGAACAAGCTGCTGGAGACCAAGTGGCAGTTCTACCAGAACCACAAGTGCTGTGAGAGCAACCTGGAGCCGCTGTTCAGTGGCTACCTTGAGACGCTGAGACGGGAGGCTGAGTATGTGGAGACCAACAGCGGGAGGCTGGCCTCGGAGCTCAACCGCGTGCAGGAGGTGATGGAGGGCTACAAGAAGAAGTGAGCATGATGGGACTGGGGGTGGTTATAGGAGTGGGGAAGGTTGTGACTCGGTCCATGTAACTCTCCTGGAGGCAGACAGGGCTAAAGGTCAGGGTTATTCCAGGCTACCGATCAGATGATTTGCTTTATCAGTCTGTTCCGTCTTGTTTCGGCACCCAGCTCTTTTCAGGCCCATCCTGGGGACAGGGGAAAGATTTGGAGAGAAGGAGAGCTCCCAGCTTTGGAGGGGTAGGACATACATCCAGGGCACAGGCTGACCCAGAGATGGAGAGAGAATAAATGAAACAGGAGGACCAAGATCAATAGGGGTGAAGAGCAAAACTTGGGAGCAGCTGGTGCCAGGATGGGTGGAAAGGAAAGGTCCTGGAAGAGCAGTCTTGAAAATGATCAGACTGATGCCATTCAAGGTGTCTTATGAACTTGGATACTTTTTAAAATTTACACTGAAGATAAATCCTGAGGCTGTTGTTCTGCAAGGCTCTGCAATTCAAAGGTCCATGTAAATCTTTTATTTTTCACCATTACCTAGTATTACTCACTGGATCACTGCTAACTAGTCCCACTTTATCTGGTAGATACAGAGTGAAGGGTGATTTTGACATATTCAAACCTGGCAATTCTAATTGGAAGTAATTGGAATTCTGATCTCGGAAGATCAGGTTTTACCATCCAGATAGACCCAGCCATGGGTTTTCACTTTCCTTGGGGGGATGAAAATGCAGACATAATTCTGTTTGTAGGTATCAAAGTCTGTCTCCCACATTGGGGGGGGGGTGAGGGCTGGTAATTACAGAGCTCAGACTTTATAGCAGCCCAAATTACCCTGTAATTACAATTTTATGAAAACGATGCTCTGAGAATTCTGGTCTCTCTTGATGGCTGGGGCAGGGCTGCTCCAGGCATCACATCTCATGGCCAAGAGCAAGCGAGTACCAGGCTGGGGAGGGCTGTGGAAGTGTCCCCTAGCAGTCCTGGCACAGTGAGTTGCTTCCAGGGTTTCAAGTCCTTGATGTTGGGGCAGGGGGAACAGAATGTCATGGGGAGAGCTTCATGGAGATTTATGTTTTGTACATTTTAGGGGCGAAGGGCCCCTGGAATACCTGTCTTCTAGTCATCCCACAAATTTACTGAGTGCCTTACTGCACACCAGGCATTTTAACCCAAGATGCAGAGAGAGTAAATGACTTCCCTGATGTTTTTTGCAGTGACTTCGCTTCCAAGCTTGGACCAGAAATCAGGGACTTGGACTTTATGTCCAGTGTCTTTTGGTGGGCTTTTAGTGGCTGAGAAATAGAAGTCCAGAGAAGCCAAGCCTCTTCTCCCAAGGCACACAGAAAGTCAAGGGCAGAACCAGGGAATCTTGAAAACCTAGGGCTCGCTGGCCAGCCCATGGCCCTCAGCCGAAGGGGCCCTTTCACCTGGGTTCTCTCTCCTTAGGTATGAAGAAGAGGTCGTCCTCAGGGCCACGGCTGAGAATGAGTTTGTGGTGCTGAAGAAGGTGAGTGACTCTTCCCACATGGCGAACAATTAGCGCTTGGATGCTGGATGCTCTGAGCATCTTGCTAAGGTCACATCAGTCCAGTTGTGGCAGGGCACTCCAGTCCCCTGGCAGATAGGAGGCTGGTCTGGCTTCAGAAGCCATTGTGACCTGCGTGCAAGAACCCAGACTGGCTGATGGAGGCTTCTTATCAAGAGAATCTCATCATCCTACTGTTTGGTTACTTGGAAACTCCTTGATTGGCTGAAATGGTCATTTAAAAATCTGTTTCACTGTCATGTGGACATTGCCTCCCACATTGGGATGTGTTGGTTCTCAGCTTGCTAGTGATTCCCTGAGCAGTGGCCTTTAATCAGTGCACTTGCAGATGAGGAGAAAACTACTAATGATTTCCCTTTGGTTTCAAATCGGTGAGTTGAAATGTATACTAATGCTTTTTTCACCATAATGTGCTTACCAGCCACCTTCTTTGTGAGTAATCATGAAACGGAGAGAGGGCTGGTAAAAAATCTGCCAATAGAGGTGTGACCTCGGTCTCAGGCAGGTGAATCAGCTACCTGGGTGTTGGGGGTTGCCTGACCTGGGAGCCAAGGACAGCATGAAGAGGGGGTACACCCATGGCTCTTTGGCTACCTCATGGTCATGCTCTGTGGCCCAGTTTGGCTTAGCAGCAGCCTGATGTTTTGGGCTGTGATATTAGGCTATCTGATTCAGCAAAATCCTCAATTCTGGACGTACTGGAAAAAAGTTTGTAGGGATCAGACTTCTCTCCACTTCCTATCCCAGCGGTCCCACGGATGCTTATGTGATGGGAAGTAGTGTCAGGGGCAGATAACAAAGGCCCCATTCTTCCTATAGGGGCCCTAATGGTGAGGACAAGAAGTCCAGGTTAGACTTGTAATTGCAAGTTGAATGGTCGGGGGGCGGGGGTGGGTGGGCCAGGAGGTGGTAGAGGTCCAAGGGGCACTGAATGACCTCGCGCCCCACCCTCTCCTGGCTTCTCCACCAGGATATAGATGGCGCCTACCTGCACAAGGCCGACCTGGAGGCCAATGTGGAGGCACTGAAGGAGGAGATGCACTTTTTGCAGGCCCTTTATGAAGAGGTGAGTCTCCCCATCTCCGGAAGAGCAGGTGAGGGAAGAGATGGAGGAAGGCTTTCCTGGGGTGTGGACTGTCCTGGTTCCTTGGTTCTAGGGAGAGCTGTCCATTCCTTACTCATCTAGGATCTCAACATCCTTTCATTTTGTGACCAGGGAGGTTTTCTCTTGTTCAGGTCTCCTTTCAAAATGGAAATGAATGATAGCCTTCCTTTAAAATGATTTGAAAGGCTGTAACTCATTGCCTGTCTACACAGCACAACACGAAGTGGAGGTTTGATAGTATAGATATAGGTATACAGCTATAATAACAAATATAGTGTGAAAACCCAATTAGAAAACCAAGACTCTAAATCTGGCCATTATCTGTTTGGCTGGGTTTATTCAGACAGCTACAGCTGATCTGGAGAGTTTAGGCCCCAGGCGCAGTTATCCAATTTGTCCCTAACCATAAAAATCTGCGCCTGTTGATCCTGATCTGGCATTAATGAAATTCCACCTTACCGTTTGCCTTGAGGCCGTGGTCTAAATTCCAGCCCTTTTCTCTTAAAGCTACGTGGAAAATTTTCCTGAATTGCCAGTAGTTTTCTAATTTATTTCCTAAAGTTTCAGAGTTGGAATTGTTTTTTGGATTACCTCAAGAGATAAGAGTCAGAGGCGATTTGGAGCTGAGAGCACTGGCTGTTACCTTTTACAGGAAATCTGTGTTCTTCAGTCACAAATCTCTGACACCTCGGTGGTGGTTAAGATGGACAACAGCCGGGAGCTCAACATGGACTCCATTGTGGCTGAGATCAAGGCTCAGTATGATGACGTGGCCAGCCGCAGCCGTGCCGAGGCTGAGTGCTGGTACCAAACCAAGGTGAATTGGAGGGCTGGGCTGCCCCACTGGACAGGGAGGATAGTCATGAACTTGGAGCTTCCTTGGGAAATGCAGCTAGGCACTCAGAGGGCTGCATAGGAGATTCTATTCTAGATTCAGTGGAGGGGAAGGAGGTGGGGCTATTGCAGAACCGTCGCAGGCTGGCTAATCTGGTGTGGCATGGGAGAATCAGTGACATCCCAGCACACCCTCCAGCCATATTGTGATCTTGGCTATGTTTGTCTCCCAACTCGCAGTGCAAGGAAATGAAGGCCACAGTGACCCAGCAGGGCGAGAACCTCCGCAGAACCAAGGATGAGCTCAATGACCTGAACCGCATGATCCAGAGGCTGGCCGCAGAGGTGGAGAACGCCAAGCAGCAGGTTGGGGGAACACTGAGACCCCACTTGGCGCACCTGCTACTTCTGATCTGCTCTCTGCTTTCTTCCTACCTTTAGGGGCTGCTGCTATCTTTAAAGGGGCTTGTCTTTTAACCACCCAAATCTCAAGGACCAGCAGTGCACAAAACACTTTAGGGAGAGAATTGGTTTAGCTATTTAATATATGTCCTTACAGTCCCTCTTTCATACATATATTTACCTATATACACATGTATACTCTAAAATATATTTATATAAACTTATTATTGTTTTAAATTTATATAATGATATTATACCATAAATTTCATTCTGATTCTTTCCTTTGCCAGTTGGCATTATGTCTTTGAAATCCATGCATGTTGCTCTAAAAGACCTGTTTCATTATTTCTGTTGAATGGATTTCTATAATATTCATAAGCCATAGTTTCCTCTCCATTCCCCTGTTGATGGATATTTAGTTTGCCTCCAAGCCTTTGCAACTACAACCAGCTGAATCATGAACATTTTTATACACGTCTCCATGTGCATCTTCATGAGAGATGTTTTGAAGGTATAAAGCAAGAAATAGGATTGTTGAGTTATAAGATATTCCTTTATTTACTTTCCGTAAATACCCACGGAGTGCTATGCCAGTGTACTCCCACTGTCGGTACATGAGGGCTTCTGTTCTAGCATGTGCTATTATCAGACTTTGAAATTCTTGTGACTCTAATAGGTGTAAACCATAATCTAATTGTTATGTACATTTTCATTTCTCTGGTTAACTAGTGATGTTGAATATCTGTCCATACACTTACTACTCATTCATATTTCCCCTTCTAAGAATCACCTATTCATATCATTTGCCCATTTTTCTATTGTGATTCCTGTCTTCTTTATGGTGATTTGCAGTATTCTCTTGTCCACTGTATCTAGACTGTAACCCTTCATCAGTTATACTCATACATGCTGCAATTAATCTCTCAATCTATCATTTGTCTGTTTGCTTTGCTCTGGTGTCCTTTATTGAACAGAAATATTTAGGCTGGATGTGCCAAATCCATCAATTCCTATCTTAATGTTTATACTTATGAAATTTTGAGGTCATAAAGCAATCCTCTTACATTTTGTCTTCTACTAGTTGTATAGTTTTACCTCTCACATTTAAGTCTTTACTCCATCTGAACTTTATTTGTTTATATATAGGGGGTAGAGTTTTAATGAAAAATTTCTACATATATGTAGTAAGAAAATGTATTATGTACCCATTCTTTACCCACGGGCTTGTGACACTACCTCTATTATAATGCTGAGTTCTCACATATGCCTGGTTTAATTCCTGTCTTCTCTCTTCTGTTAGCTGTTCTCACTCACTGTGTAAGATGTAATTTGTTACTATTAATAGATGAGGTAATGAAATATGGGAATGGTTTACTCTCCAGAAGTGAAATTAGAGAAGATTAGAAGTTATCCTCACTTGCATTCTGACATGCTTTTAAAAAATATTTATTTTATTTGATAAGAACAATTAACATGAGATCTACCCTCTTAGCAAATTTGTAAGTATTTGTAAGTATAACAAATTTGTTGACTATAGGTACAGTGTTGAACTGTGGATCTTTAGAACTTACTAATCTTGCATAACTAAAACTTCATGTCCATTGATTGGTAATCTCCCATTTCCCCCTCCTCCCAGCGCTTGGCAACCATCATTCCACTCTGGTTCTATGAATTTGACAATTTTAGATATTTCATATAAGTGAAATCATATAGTATGTATTTTTCTGTGTTTGGCTTACTTAGCATAATGTCCTCAAGGTTCATGCATGTTGTCACATACTGCAGAATTTTCTTATGTTAATGCTGAATAGTGTTCCATTGTATGTGTATACCACATTTTCTTTATCCATTCATCTGTCCAGAGACATGTAGGCTGTTTCCACATCTTGGCTATTGTGAATAATGCTGCTATGAACATGAGAGTGCTAATATTTCTTAGAGATCCTGATTTTCATTCTTTTGGGTTAATACCCAGAAGTGGGATTGGTGGGTCACAGGGTAGTTCTATTTTTAATTTTTTGAGAAACCTCCATATTATTCTCCATAGTGGCACACCATTTTGCATTCCCACCAGCAGTGTACAAGGGGTCCCAATTTCTCCACATCCTCACTAATACTTGTTGTCTTGGTTTTTTGATAATAGCCATCCTGACAGGTCTGAGATGATATCCCATTGTGGTTTTGATTTGCATTTCCATGATGATCAGTGATATTGAACATTTTTTAATATACCTTTTGGCCATTTATGTCTTCTTTGGAGAAATGTCCAAAGAATGTTCAAGTTCTTAGCCCATTTTTAAAACCAGAGTTATTAATATAGTTTGCTACTGAGTTTTAGTAGTTCCTTATGCTTTTTTTAAAGATTTTTTTTATTGGGGAATTGGGGGGATGGGAACAGTGCTGGGGAATTGGGGGAAGGGGAACAGACAAGTTGCTGTCGTTTTGGTCTTCAGTCTAGTTGTGGAGGACGTTGCTTCACTGGCCCAAGTTGGCACCATCATTGCGCTCTTCCCGGGCGAGGCAGATCAGTCGCCGGCTTCTGGACGGCCGCTCACTGCGGCTGCTGGCCGCTCACGCTGGCTGCTGGCTACATATGGTAGCCCATGGCAACCCACTGCCACAGGGGCTGCAGCCCACGCCGTCGCCGGCGACCCACGGCAGCCCAGCTCCAGGTTGAGCTGTTGTTCAGCATGTTAGCTGTAGAGGGCAGTGTCACTGGCCCTCATATGTGGGATTCGAACCGGGGCCCTCTGGCATCCCAAGCGAGTTCTTAACCATCGCGCCACTCGGCCGGCCCTCCTTATGCTTTCTTAGGTGGGGACAAGGGAGAAGCTGTAGTTAGCATGCTGGATATTGTAAATGGAAACTTTTTCGGCATGCTGATCTCAGTGGGTCAAAGATGAGACCCCGTATAGTAGCCTCTGAAAACCTGGGCTTGGCACTAATTAATTGGGTAGCTTAGGTCAAGTCACAGCCTGTTTGAGTCTCAGTGTCTTAATCTGCATAATGGGGATAACAAGGCCTGTTCTGGCAATTGACAGAGTAACTTGAAGATCAAATAAGATAACTGTGAAAATTCCTTGTAAACTAACAACAGTGAACAAATATAAGATAATATCACTAATTATTATTAATCTTATTCCCGTGCTTAATTTTCTCCCTCTAATGGCTCACCATGGACTTGAGTTTTACAATAAAGGGTACAAAAATGAAGGAAGAAATCTCCAAATGGCTATTATTTCTCTGCCTAGTTAATTTAAAAGTTGACCATTTTGAATGGAGGCAAAACAGGATGACCAATGCCATGGGAGACCCACCAGGGCTCCCACAGACTGCATCTTTTTCAAACACCTTCTCTCCTCTCCTCCCCCCAGCGCTGCAAACTGGAGGTTGCTGTGGCCCAGGCGGAGCAGCAGGGCGAGGTGGCCATCAGCGATGCCCGCTGCAAGCTAGCCGAGCTGGAGGCTGCCCTGCAGAAGACCAAGCAGGACATGGCCTGCCTGCTCAAGGAGTACCAGGAGGTGATGAACTCCAAGCTGGGCCTGGACATGGAGATAGCCACTTATCGCAAACTGCTGGAGGGCGAGGAGAGCCGGTAAGGATGGGGCTTGTGGTCACTTCACATCCCCACTTAGGGCTAGAAGAGTGCCTCACTGGACCATAATCACCCAGGCAGAGAGATTCAAACTGAGAAAGACTAGACATCGTGGGGTTCAGCCATTTCCCCATTTTCAGATAGAGAAACTGAGGCCCAGATAGGGGAAGGGGATGGTCTGAGACCACAGCTAGTTAGTGGCTATGCTAAAATTACACCATTCTCCTGGCTAGCACTTCATGATCCTTTCCCCTCCTATACTGCCCCTCTAGTTATATCTAGAGCTCACTCCAAGGCCATGATTTTACCCTGTTGGCTGAAAGGACGTTTCTGCAATCACACTTCAGTGAGTTGTGAAAGCTGCAATCATTCAGAAGATTTGTTAAAGGCCATTTGATTTGGGAGGCACAGACAGGAATCCTATCAACCAAGATAGTCTGGTGTTTGGGACCAGTAAATAGAAATGAGTAGCACAGGGTCCTTGCTTAGCCAGGGAAGAAAGGGGCAGATATAAATCCATCCTCTGGATGACTGGGGTTCATGAAAATCCTAGGGAGGCTTTTCAGAAGAGGAGGTAGAAGAACTGAGGGGGTGGGAAAAGTTAAGGACACTTTAGGCTGTATTGACAGTTTGAGCCAAGAATTGAGGGCAGGTGAAATCAGCATGGAAAGGAACACTGCGGCTTTGTACCTGGGGTGGTACATGGGCCTCTAGCCTTGAAGTGGCCACATTATTATTGCCTCCTAGCTGGGTCCTATCAAGGGGAAGCAGGCCACACAGGGGAGTAGAGTTTAGAGGTTAAGATCACCCACTGTGCGCCAGACCTCCTGGGTTTAAATCCCAGCTCTACTACTTAATTAGCTTCAACCCTCTATGCCCCAGTGTCCCCATCTGTAAAACAGGTAATTGTAAAACCCACTGCTTAAGGCTGTTGCAAGGATCAAATGGGTTAATGGAACACCATCAGCATGAGTAGGAGCAGGCTATTATCAGAATAAGAATATCTCTATCCTTATCAAGAAATTCGACATGAGTGGCACCCAAGGCAGTTGGCCATGCTGCTGGATTTACACCATGCCTGACGGAAGCAGGGAAACTTTTTTGTTCATTTCCTTGGGACTTTGGATGAAACCACCAGAGCTATCTCCTCCTTTGCACCTTTCGGTGCCCAACTCACTCCCCAGCATTCTGTGAGGCCCTCAGCATTTGTAACATGAAACTTACTTTCATTATGATAATAATCATCAGTGTAGTAATAGCTCAGTCATATAATGAACGATGTACTGTCCCCAGCAATGAGATTGTAAAAGGTGATTTAGTGGATTGTGCTTTGCACATTGTGGCCATTGACCTTTTAATAGACCTTCTCCTCTTGGCAGTTAGCATGTTTAATTGGATTACACAAGCAATGCTTATTTTAGAAAATACTGGAAATAAGAATATAAAAGCAGCCATAATCACTCAACTCGGAGATAGCTGGTGCCAGCATTGAGGCTCAACAGGCGCTAAGATGGGCATTGGATAGAATCTTCTGGAAGGGTACAGTTCCAAGGCTTGTGGCAAAGTCAGGGGAAAGTGAGCTGGAATCAAAATCTTTAGTGCAAAGCTGTGGAGTATCGGAGGACTCTGAGTTGGGCAGAAGGAATCAGACGAGAACTTTCCAGGAGAAAAGGTTTGAAGCTGGGGTTAAAAAAAGGTGTGTGTGGGGGGTGTGGGGAGACATAGAAACAGAAAATACAGGTCTATGTGAAGGAGGAGGGAGCATTTATGAAGAGCCCACTGTAGAGGTATAAATAAATGTCTCTTCATTAATGAGATACTTATAATGTTAATAGCAAACTCTTAATTGGATTTATTGTGTACCAGTCTCTGTCTGCGGACACTTTGCATGTAGAGCTTACCACAGCCCTAGGAGGTGGGTCTTATCATCCCCATTTCATGACTGGGGAAACTGAGGCACAGAAAGATTAGGTGACTTCTCAAGGTCACCCAGCTAGAAGTGGCTCAGCCAGAGTGGAGCCCAGGTGACCTGGATCCAAATTCCAGGCTCTTAACCACCACACCTTTCAGGCTTCCTCTGCATTTATCAAGTCAGGTTGATATCTGGGACAGCATTTAAAATTGTAGGATAAAAATGGATCAATTCAGATGATAGGCAAGCTTTTTCCTACCCAGAGGTGTCCAGTTAGGCAGTAGCTGATCCCATCAATTGTTCTTTGGCTTAGTTGGAATTTCCCTCCAAGGGACAAGGAGAATGACCCCCACTGCACCCCCCATCTCTACTTTTCAAGTCCATCAAGTTTCCATGGCTGAGAAGTAAGTGAGGCATAAAACGGTGTTTTGGATCCTGCAATCTAACATTCATTCCCCTGTCCTTTTGTAAACCCAGGGAGCAGTGCCAACACTGATGCTACCTGTAGTAGGTGGGCAGCATGCCCCCTGCCCTGCATCTGCTCTCCCCTGCTTCAGGATGGAGAACAGACCTGCAGCAAGGGCAGGGAGACTTGGTTCTAATACTCAATCTCTCCTCTCCCCTGCAGGTTATGTGAAGGCGTGGGTTCAGTCAACATCTGTAAGTTGGGGGTGTATGGGGGTATGGTTCTTTTGGGTGTCAACAGTCTTAATAATGGGTTGCATCTAACTGGTGGCTGAACCTCTGTCCATGGGGTACTGGGTGAGGGAGGCAGTAAGTGAGGCCTCTGAGATCTGGACAAATGGATGGTCCAAAATAGTCGGTCCCTACATTGAGCCATCTGGAACACCCATGAAGCCTTAGCTAATGCATGTGACAAGTTCTGCGCCCCCCGCCCTTTATTGGTTCTCCAAAAATAACCCAAATCTTTCAATTACACACAGAATACTCCACAAGTGGTATAATGTTTTAATAAGAAGGAGCACTAGATGTCTATTCTGATCATTTGAGGTCACTGTAGGCAACCCTTAAATTTTTATCTTTAGTGGTCTATTATGTTCACAGCCCCTGGGTTAAGTGTCTATCTGTTCCCCTCATCTTTCCAGCAACCATATTTCTAGATGATTCCTCCACTGAGGCCCCTCAGTTTTTGCTCAAAGAGTGTATAAACATTTCAACATTAGTCTGGTTCAAGTAGAGTCAGGTGTCTAATGTGCTAACCACACTCCTTCAGGAAGCAGATGACAATGGGTTTAGATTAGCCTGTAGCTCAAAAGTTTCATGCTACTGGTCCCTTGGAGTGTGAAGAGAGTTAATTATTGGTTTCAAAATATTGTGGGTCACACCATGTCTGGGACGGAAGAGAATTCTGACTGGGTGTCTCCATCCACAGGTGTGAGCCGTTCCCAGGGCGGCGTGGTCTGCAGGGACCTCAGTCCCACCATCCCTTGTGGCCTGGGGGGTGCGGTCATCAGCAGCGGCATCCTCTGCTCCCCCTCTGTAGTGGGAGCCTGCTCCAGTGCGAGATCTGTGCAGTTTGCCTAGCAGGAGGTGGGACTCTAGATGGATGAGGTCTGATGAGATGAGGGTGGGGAGGAGAGAGGAGGGGAAATCTTCACCCTCAGGCCCAAATGTCAGTTTAGTGATTTCCCCTTACTGAGAACCCTGACTAACTCGCCATTTTCCTTCTTATTGGAGTTGTGATTTACACTTTGAGCGCAAACCCTGGGTTTGGCATTATTGCCACTTCCATTGATCCCTCCCTCCCTGTGGTCCAGGAAAGGGACGTAAAAGCTTTTTGGTATAAACTGCTTAGCCACTTTCTTCCTTAACTAACTTCAAGCTAGCAAACATTTACTAAGTACTGATCGACCTTGTGCCAGGCCTTCTGGGAAGGAGGCCAGGTAGAGAGATGGCAGTACGTGGGTGCATCTCTGTGCTTTGCCCTTCATGAAGGGTTTGTGTATCGGTGTCTCCTCAGTACTGAAGGGGCAATGGGGTACATGGAGCTGGGACTCCAGGAGGCGCCTCACTTGACCTGAGAGATTGTATGTTCTTAGAGCACCCCCCAACTATTCATATGTCAGGATGGAAAGACGGACTAAGGCTAACTGGTTGAGATTTTTTATTGTTGGTGGTTTGGAGTTTCGTTGCACTTGGGTGATTCCTGTTATGGCTCCTTCTATCTTTTGGTGTGTGTGATTAAATGTCAATGGCTAAAGTTTTTCTCCTAGTAACCAAGTTAACGTCTGCCTCCTTCATTGTTTTTCCAGCCCCTTCTGCCCAATTTCTGAGTTTCAGTGCTTCTCCAAGTGTGGTCCCCAGACCACAATCTACATCAGGATCCCCAGGGAGAGGGGGATCCCCAGGGATGAGCCCAGGAATCTGAATTAAACAAGCTCCCAGGTGATTCCTATATGTACTAAATTTGAGAACCACTCGTTTATTTGGACAGAGGGAACAGGAGAATCAGATCATTTTGACCGTGGAGGTGCCTTTCCCTCTCACAGGGTCAGATTCATATCTTTGCATTTCTCTTTGGAATGCTGTAAGGTCAGAGCCGGTCTGGATCACCCAGGCTGGGCGTGACAGGGACAAATGTAGAAAAGGGGAAGAAAAGAGCTTTTATTCACAAGCAGCTGCTAAATGTCTGGCACATTGTCACAGCAACAGTGTTATTTTCTTCATTTTACAGGTAAGAAAATTAAGGCCCAAAGAAGTTAAGTACTTCACTAAGATCACACAGCTAGTCCAGGATCCAAACAGAGGTCGAGGGAATGCCAATGTTCATAAGCTTTCCACGGCCTTACCCCAATTTTCCCTTCAGGCTAAACATCCTGACTCATCAAAATGCTCCCAGATGAGGGGTTCTAACTGACCCTACTAGTCTGACACTCTAGAGATAAGAGATGGAAGGTGACATAAAGGAACCTCCTGGAAGTGTTTGTAGAAAATCGTCCCATAGTCTCTGCTCTCCAAAAATCTTGGACAGATCTTACAATACGGTGGCTAATACAGGTCTCCTATCTGGGGAGCCAGAACCAAAACTCAGACCTCTGGTTGGAGGGCATTTTCCCTGATGGGTTGATTGGGGGCAACTGACTGGGGAACTCTGTTTTTGGCCTATACCTGAACTGACAGTTGCCAAGAAGTTCTGCCTAGAGACGTCTGCTCACAGTCCCCTCTGATGTGATGAGGTAGAGAGAGGGGTTTCTGATGAGCAGCTTTCTTTCACTTGTTTTGCAGGAAGAAGTCTACTTCTCCTACTTCATTTTATTTGGGATTAAAAAAAAAAGAGTTTACTGAAAGACCTGAATGGGTGAAGATATTTTGCTATAAGAATATATATTTGATCTTAGGACACAGAAAAACTTTTGAGTAGTTCTCCCTGGCAATGTAGTCCTTCTGATACCTCCAGAATGTGTCCCCAGGGGGGCACACTGGTCCTCTGGAACCTTGGGAGGAGTGAGATTTTTTTTTAGTATAGTGGCCCCCAGACTCTGCTTCCTGGACTTAGAGTGTCTGCATTCTGGGTACATTATGGTCTAGATCCCACCAAGTTTGAACGGGAATAAAATCAGGTTCAAAGGGCCACCCGGTTTTCTCTGAGGAGGGAAAGGGGTCTCACTAGGCACCTACTGCCCTGGGGAGGGGTTGTGAGGAGAAGGATAGGGGAAGGTTTGCCTTTTCTTTTTTTTGTTATTTTTTTTTTAATTGGGGAATTGGGGGGATGGGAACAGTGCTGGGGAATTGGGAGAAGGAGAACAGACAAGTTGCTGTCATTTTGCTTTTTTTTTCTTCAGTCTAGTTGTGGAGGACGTTGCTTCACTGGCCCAAGTTGGCACCATCATTGCACTCCTCCTGGGCAGGTGAGGCAGATCAGTGTCACTGGCCCTCATATGTGGGATCCGAACCGGGGTCCTCTGGCGTCCCAAGCCAGTTCTTAACCATCACGCCACTCGGCCGGCCCTGCCTTTTCTTTTTGATGGTGGCGGTGGAGGATATATACATCCATATGTGTGCCTCTAGTGTTTTCTTCGTTTTGAATGCAAAAACTCATCCTCTGAGTGCTGCCTCTACCCAACTCTATCCCCTGGCTATGCACCTCACACCACCACTGTCCAATAGCTCCAAGGGAATAACAGCAGGCACATTGGGGGACCCCTTTGTTTTTTAATGAAGCAGAGATGGGCAGGGATTTCTGGGGGCACAAAGGGGTTTGGTGAGAGGTGGGGACATTAAAGTGGTGTGAGGCAGTTGTGAACTATGCCTCCCCCACTGCAGGTTCCCCCACCCAAAGATAGCAGAACTCAGTGCAAGTGTCCTCGTTACTCTAATTTTCAATAGATAGAACACTCAATACGATCTCCTCTTAATGTCCTCATTCCCAGAGAGTGGTAGTGGCGTGAATATGCACACAAGGGTAATTCCCAGACGGTCATTTCCCATGCCCATGTCCATTGCAAAGGGGGATACGCTTTGTCATTTCTTTGATCATGTGGTTAAATCTGCATTTCTAATTATGCTTGGCTTGGTGGGTAATGACACGAATCTGTGTTTTCTGAGATACCAAAGACTGAAGCAGGGGACTGTTGGAGACACTGGGGCAGCTGGGAGCAGGAGCTGGACAGGAAGTCGGTGTTGGTGATGACGGTATAAAGTGGAGGGGACTTGGACTTGGCAAGGAGCGTTTGTGACCGCAGGAACGAAAGAAGACACCAAAGCCTAAGCTTACCTGAGTTTTTGAAAGAGCTGTACTCCCTACTTCCTCATCCTTTGGAGACTCTGTGTACTTTTGAGGGTACAATGACTATTTGAATAAGAGTTGGAATATGGACAGAAGGTCTGATTTTCTCTGATGGAAGTTTTAGCTTGGTTTGTGGAGTTTCAAAGAAAGGGGAGCCCAGGAAAGGGTGCCGGAATCACCCACATGGGCTGACTTTATTGTTTGGGCCACCTGCTCTTCTGACTTTCCCCTGATCTCTCGATTTCAGACCACTTGACTTCTCCTTTAATTTTGTTTTTCTAATAAAACTTTGATTCTAGTTACCCTTGGGTTGCACCCTTTGCTTTTCACGAGGAATAGCTTTTTTTATCAGGAGACGGCAGTGGGAGCCCCAGAATCCTTTGAACCAGAAGTGCTTGCTCTGCATTTTGCTTTGACAGCAAGGAGGGCTGGGGAGAGATTTCATCCTCCTAAACCAATGGCATCTCTGGCTGACTGAGTCAGTTGACTGGTCTTTGCACACAAAGCATGGAAACTTATTAAAAGCTTATTAATATTTCTAAGCTCCTGGCTGTTTGGCTTTTCAATGCATGGTGTCATACTTTGGAGAACGAATGTCAGATTTGGCATTTTAGTTATGCTTGGCCCACACTCATGGTAATATCAAGGTGTTTTCCCCAAGCACAGACTCACTCCAGCAAACCAGAGCCACAGGTGGTGCAGGGCTGGGAAGAGCTCATCTCACAGGTCTCTAGGTTGATGCCTAGAGCATGGAGGCCACTTCTTGCCCAGGGTCTCACCAAGACATGGCAGAGTTGATGCCCAAATTTTGATCTCCTGACTTTTCAACCCTTGAGATATACTCTTTCCTGTGGATGAATAAGGTGCCCTAAGTTAAATGTTGGCTTATTGTGACTATGACCATGTCCTCAAGGCCCAGAGAGGTGGGAGAAAGGCGGGGAGCAGGCAAGAAACTCGGAGGAAAAAGCCTGGTGTCAGCCAGCAAACCTGAAACAGCAGCAGCATGAGCACTCAGAAGAGGCCACAACCTTCAGCAGAATTGCAACCCTTTGGGCCTGACCTGAGGATTCATCAGAACATACGGGGCCTTAACTTTTCCTCCTAGGGAAAGGCCTGGGGATGAGACAGCAGAGGGGGCTGGGAGGTGGACGTTTGCCTGGAATAGTGACAGCCAATCTGTTCTCCTAATGGAGAAATGGAGGTAAATCCAAGAGGACTGATGTCTACACCTTCTTCTCTACCATCTGCCTGAGTTCATCCAACCATCCCAGGCCTGACATTTCTTGGAGCCCCATCCTCGGACTTATTTGGGGGTTAGAGCCAGGAGGAGATACTTCCAGCTTGATCCAGGCTCCAGACACACCTAGTGACATCCCTGGTCCCAAGCCACAAAGACAGAACCAGAGATCCTTAGGGTTCCGGACACTGTGGGGCAGGGGGAGGGTGATGTGTGCCTTTGGAGAGAAGGGTAGGGAAGGGGCAAAGGCAGATGGAAGGAGGGGCATGGGATGGCTTATGTGTCCATGTGAGCTGGTCCTTGGTGGCCTCAAAGGTTAGACTTGTGTCCATCGGATGGAGCCTGCATCTAGGAAGATCGGCACTGGGTAGGGGGGTTGCACAGGGCTGAAGAGCAGGTGGGAATAGGAGAGACAGAGGGGGCCTGCATTTGGCATAAGGAGCACATGCATAGGCTAGGAACTGGTTTGAACCAGGTGGGAGGGGGTGAGAGTGATGAGTCTGGGATGGAATTCTGGCTGCTGGGGGATTGTGGGGTGGGGTCAAGGAGAAAGAGGCCATGGGGAAACTGGAGCTGTTGTCCAGGCCTGAGTAGACTGAGTTGGAATCAGGCTATGGAAGTGGACAGGAGAGGCAGAATCACTGACGGGTTGGGGAAGCACTGCATGGGGCGGGGGCTGGAAAAAACTGGCCGACTGGAGAGGAGCAAGAGGGAGCTGACTGAGTGTCAGAATGTTGGAGAAAGCACACATTGTGTTCATAAGATTACATATCCTTGCATCGCAGCAGCATTTATTGAAACACCAATTGAGACAACCCAGAAGGCAAGCCACCCACAGACAGTTGTAACAAGCGGGAGACCCAGGAAGTGGCCTAACCTTCTCCATCCCACCCGCTCTGCCTTGGACAGACCCCTCCCCTGCACCTGCCGGGGGAGATCTGGAGCAACCATGGAGTTTTCTTTGAAATGTACAAGGTGCATCGAATAGCAAGACCTGTCCAAAGTCAAAAGGATTCCCCCCATTCCCCCCACCCCCACCCCAATGGGCCTCTTAACCAGGCGGTCACATGAAGAGATTGGCTGGAACAGGTTAACCCAGAGGAAGACAGTCAGTCAGAGAGACAAGCAAAAACACAAAAATGACCACCAGATGAGCGTTTCCTGCAGAGACCTTCCCAGCCAGGAGAGGGAGCTGATGGGGGTGGGGGAACTTCCTCTCTGATTCTCAGGTTGTGAGAGACCTGGCTGGATGGCTAGGCTCATTCCTTTTCCAAGGAGAAGGCCACGCTTTCATGATGTCCAGCCATCCTGGGTGACTGGTAATGTCCCAGAGAGCTTGGTGAATAATACAAATTGGCCACAGGTATTTTTGAGTCAAATTGGAGTTAAATGAAGGGCTGGGAACGACTCTCTAACTGAAGCCAAGAGAACCAGGAAACAACTCCCTAAGAAGAGAAGGTGGCAGAACGGCCCCAGGGTCTGTTCCTTTGTAGGAACACGTGTAAGATTCCAGAAGCAAGCACACATTTTCCATTCACACACCATCTGTGCTCAGGAGGACGTAGGCAGACCCGGACTCTACGCAAAGCGGACGCACCGGCTGCTCCCGCAGCTAAAGCTGGAGGAGCGGGGCTGACAAGGGGCACAGGAGTCGGGCGCCATTACTGTGATGCTGCTCCCGGAGGCCATGGGGCCAGAGGCAATCTGGCGCCCGGGGGTGGTGCTACACGTGAGACCCCCACAGGTGACTCCTCCACGGGAGCTGCTGACGCCTGTGGGAAGAGACGTAACAGGGAGGGGTGAGTGGCCTGCCGTGATCTCACCAACCTCGGATCAGGCTCTAATTGGCTTCTGCGTGGCAGGAGCTCCCTCCTCCTCAAAGGGTTTTAGTGGTTAATAACTCAGCCCAGTTCCTCTCAGCATCTCAGCCCTTCTAGGGGACTGGACAAGAAGGACCAGGGGACCCCAGAACCCAGAGAGTCAAAGCAGCCTGGCCCCATTTCCAAGGCCTGCGGTTTACATTGCCACCAGGGGAGGACGCTCAGCTCTGCTTTGGCTAACCCTCTTAATACTCCCCTGTGAGGAGCCTGGGGAGGGTGCAAGAATGCTTCCCAGTTCCCTGACTCAGTTCCCTGAGTGGTTTAGGCTGTCGAGTTCCGCTTTGCCCATCAACAAAGCCATTTTCTAGGGGGTTTCCAGCAGATACTTACAGACATTCACGGCACCCACACCTTCGCACAGCCTATGGGACAAGAAAACTCCGTTAGCGCTGGACACTGAGCTGGATTCCTTGAGGCAGATGGTTGCTTGGGAACCGAGAGGGCTGTCCTGTGTACAGGTCGTACCCCCAGAAGCAGGGAGGGCTCCTCCAGAGTCAGTATTAAAAGCTCACTTTCTTGCTTTAACTGTTCTCTGACCATGGAGATAAGCCCTGATTTTCAGCATAGGTGGGTGAGATTATGAACTCTATCCATTGCCTCCAATCTGAGTGCCTGGCCCACCCTGGATAGTGTGATCAGACTCACAGAAAGCAGTTGAATCACCTGCCCCAGTGTGTAGAAGGCCCTTGTGGTCAATGAAGAGCTACTGCATGCATACAGAGTACATTGTCCTTACAATGCACAAGCCTGCCTGCAGGCCAAGCTACAGCCTCGTGTAGGAAGCTACTGGTAGAGAATGGATGTCAGAGGCACATGGTTTGGGTGCAGGTCTTGGCTGTTGCACTTGTTAACTGTGGGGCCATGAGGAAGTCACTGAACGCTAAGCCGTATTTACTTATCTTTGGATGGGAAAAAGGAAACCTACACCTCACTGGATTGTGAGGATTACAGTGAGCACCTAGCACAGGCTGAGCACATAATAAGCATTCAATAATTATTATTGAAGCTTGACCTCTACTAGTGGTGGGCAGAGATGTAGCTTACACTTGGGATCAAGGAAATTCACTCCCAGAGGAGCAGGGCCTCCACCTCCTATATTCCACAAGGTCCTCTTTAGCCTCACCTATGCTCCTCGCCCTCCAGCAGGCGCCTGTAGGTGGCGATCTCAATGTCCAGGCCCAGCTTGGAGTTCATCACCTCCTGGTACTCCTTCAGCAGGCAGGCCATGTCTTGCTTGGCCTTCTGCAGGGCGGCCTCCAGCTCAGCCAGCTTGCAGCGGGCATCGCTGATGGCCGCCTCGCCCTGCTGCTCTGCCTCGGCCACAGCTGCCTCCAGCTTGGCCCGCTAAGGGGAGGAAGACGGGAGGACGAGGATGAGAAAAGGCACAACTTGGCTTACCCAAGCTGATGGAGCTGGGGCGGAGCTGAGGCAGGGAGAGGAGGGTCCCAGAGAGAAGGTAGGTTAACTGCCTATGACCAGGTAGTTAAGGGGATGTAAACAACACAAGGGAGGAGATGGGTGGTTTTTTGACCATCTCTCCTTGATGGTGGTTGCAGGATGGCCAAGGAGGGGATCGTCAGTAACATGGCTCATCTCAGCTCAAGTGCTGTGTGGTGTGGGAGAGCTCCCGCCCTCTCTCTGGGTCCCGGCTTCCTCATGTGCATACTGTGAAGCCTGATGGGGGCCGGGCCTTTGTCCTTCCAGGGATCAAAGGGCCTGGGGCTGCAGACTGCCTGTGCTGGGTATTGGAGCCCTCCCTGTACTCTACCTGGCACTTGGCATTCTCAATCTCAGCGGTCAGCCTCTGGATCATGCGGTTCAGCTCGTTGATCTCCTCCTTGGTGCGGCGCAGGGTCTCCCCGTGACGGATCACCGTGGCCTTCATCTCCTCACACTGGGGGGAGACACAGGTGCTCCTGAGGCTCAGGATGGGACACCCCACCCATTCAGGACACCATGGGTGATTGTTCAGGCTGTACAGTGCTCAACCTGGGCCACCATATGTGGCAGACCTGCTCTGCCACTCTAACCTGAGAGCTGTCTGCCCTTCTGTTACTATCCCTAGGAATCAGAATCTCAGAGAAAAGAAACCTTTTCTAATATATACCTTGAATCCTTCCTACTTTCATGTCTAAGAGGCAGGTGTCCTGTGCCACTCACCTTGCTGCGGTACCAGGACTCAGCCTCGGCACGGCTGCGGCTGGCGACGTCGTCGTACTGAGCCTTGATCTCGGCCACGACGCAGTCCATGTTGAGGTCCCGGCTGTTGTCCATCTTGACAATGACGGAGGTGTCTGAGATGTGAGCGTGGAGAACCTGAAGCTCCTGGGGGTCCAACAGCCAATACATTTGGTTCTGGTGCCTGATATGGGCCATGTGCTCTACCCCTGGAGGCACTGTCCACTTTCTGGACGGGACACTGGTCATGAATGTTACATGACTCCTGCCCCCCACTTTCATTCACACACAGGCACATCATAGAATAATAAACCTGGAAGGGGCCCTAGAGGTCAGTTGGGGGAAGCCCCTGACTTAACAAATGGGAAAACTGAGGCCCAGCATGTGAAAAAGAGCTGATTCAAAGTCACTCAGCAGGGAAGCTGGGGCTAGAATACAGGACTAGTGATTTGTCCATTAATTAAGACCCTTTAATTAGAAACCCACCCTGTCCCCCAACCCCATATATACACTTTCATATCCATGTGTGGACTGACATGCACACAGACCAGCACACAGACACACACACTGCAACAGATACGGGTGCTCACAGACATAGAGAGGCCCCAGCACACACGCTCTACAGTCTTCAAACAATTGTGCCAGGCTCTCACTCGGCACATACATACACGTGTCTGTGACAACCACCCAACACACCCCTTTTGCATGTGTACATGTCCTTTTCACGCTTATATCACACATGGGGCAAACACATGCACACAATGCACCCTCTCTCCCCACTGCCCGGGTTGGTTGGCAAGGGCCCCCTCACCTCATCATAAAGGCGCTTCAGGAAGCTAGACTCCTCCACCAGGGCCTCCACGTTGGCCTCTAGGTCTGATTTCCGCAGGTAGGCACAGTCCACATCCTGGTGGTGGAGAGAGGAGGAGGGGTGTGCATGTGGGAGGAGGCCCAGGGAAGGAAGGTGGTCAGTGTGGTGACCGCACCCCCCACTGGAGCTTGTACAGATGGGTTCCCCTCCCTCCCAGCCCCCTCACCTTCTTTAGAACCACAAACTCGTTCTCTGCCGTGGCTCTCAGAGCCACCTCCTCTTCATACCTGAGTGTGGGAGACAGAGTCCAGAGCTGAAGGGTCAGGGCTTAGACACCATCCCAGTTCCCAAGCAAGCTCTTCCAAGAGTCAAAAGGGATTAACTCCCTGCAGATGTTATCTTGGCCTCTCCATGATCCATTTCGTACATTATTCATGAGCTAGCCCTTATGCCAACTTGGCTTATCCCACCCCAGTTCTTCCGCATGTGGGATGAGGTCAGGGGAGCACATTTCATCTCCAACTCTAAAATCATCTGCGCCTCCTAGATCCAAAGAGAGCTAGTGACCTGGGCAGAAAGAGCACAGAGCCTGCAACATAAAGGTGAGCCAGAGAGACAGTAACAAAGATAGCTGCAACACTCCATCGGGATTCCTTTCCTCGCTTCCCTGAAACCAGCTCTAAGACCCATGGGGACTCCAAAGGGTGGAGGTGGAGCCAGAGACTATGAGGAAAACTAGGTCCCTACTGGACATTCCCTAGGGTTCCAGGCAGCCCCTGTTGACAGGCAGGAACCAGAGAAGCTGCTTCAAGAGCGTGTGGGTGGCGCCTTCCCCCTTCCCCTTACGTTCTCGCTGGTCCTGTGTACTCACTTCTTCTTGTAGCCCTCCAGCACCTCCTGCACGTGGTTGAGCTCTGAGGCCAGCCTCCCGCTGTCAGCCTCCACACACTCAGCCTCCCGCCTCAGCGTCTCGATGTAGCCATTGAACAGCGGCTCCAGGTTGCTCTCGCAGCAGCGCTGGTTCTGGTAGAACTGCCACTTGGTCTCCAACAGCTTGTTCTGCTGCTCCAGGAAGCGCACCTGCCACCCAGAGTGCGGGAGACTCAGTAGGGAGTCTAGGGAAGTGCCTGGTCCCCAGAGCGCTCTCTGCCCTGATGCTCCCTGAACAGCCAGGGCCAGCCAAGGGCTAAGCCATGGGGTTGAGTGTCTGCATCTCAAGCAGCCTGTCTCCCAGATCCGCCCCCCTCCCCCCCCTCCCCCCCAGGGAGGCAGTGTGGGTGTGAGGGAAAGCACTCAGGTGTGAAACCAAAGGTCTGGTTCAAGCCTCAGCTCTGCCACTTTAAGTGGGCAAGTTGTCTAACATTTGGGTGCTTGGTTTTCTCATTTCTAAAACAGAGATGATAACAGTATCTTCCTTAGGGTTGTGAAGATTGAACAAGTTAATGCATGTAAAGTGCTTAGAACAGTCCCTGACACATAGTAAGTGCTCTACTAATTCAACTCTTACTATAATTACCGGTTCTTTATTTATTTATGCAACATTTATTGAATAATTACTATGTGGTGCCAGGGCCTATGTTAAGATACATATTCAAACACACATTATCTATCTATCTATCTATCTATCTATCTATCTATCTATCTATCATCTATCTCATTCAATTCTCACAACCCTTTAGATGGGGGAGATGTTATTTTCCCCATAGTACAGACGGGGAAACTGAGACCCCAAGGTGTGAAATGACTAGCTTATTGTCACACAATGAGTAAATGATGAAGTTGGGATCTGCAGCCCCTTGGGTCCCCTTTGCCTGCTCACCACACTATGTTTAAGCAGCTCATCTAAACTCTCTCAGCTTCCATTTGGTAATCAAAACGTGGAAGCAATATTTACCCCATTGGGTCATTTTGAGGATTAACTAAGATCACTAAAGAGGAAGTGATAACAGGAAGGTCACCCCTGTCACCCCCAGATCCCCTGATCCCAGACTCCAGAGCCTGGTCCTGTCTACTCCGCCGGAGTGAGGCCTCGTGGACACAGGAGGAGACAACATGAAGGGAGGCGCAGAGGCAGCCCTCCTGGGAGGCAGCCTCACAGCAGTGCTGAGCTCATGACACTGCATTGGTGGGTCTCCCCCCACCAGCCTGGCCGCCTCCCCGGGACTTCCACATTCCTCGCCCTCTATGAATGAAGGCGGCTGCCAAGCCTGGTTTGTTAAGGGTCACACTTCTTTTTCCACTACTGTCCTTGGAAAAGAATACTAAGAGCTAACATTTGTTGAGCACTTACTATGTGCCAGCACTTTTCATGCATGAACACATTAATCCTCACAACCAGCATATGAAGCTGCCTCTGTTATCCAGACACATAACATGCCTGAGGGACAGAGCCAGGATGGGGGAGGCAGCATGGCTCCGAGTCCTGCCCCAGCCACTTCCCAGGCTGTGCGAGCCATAAACCACGTGCCCTTTGTTCTTCCCATGAGCTCCCACTCTTCCAGCGCACAGTGCCTAGTTCGGTTTTTCAGAAGAAGGTCCAATATTCCTACGTTGTCCCTGGAAGCACACACACACTTGAGACCACAGACTTGATTTCTGGACCCCTCTGGGTCCTCGGTACACGTTGCTGGAATTAAACGATGAAAACTGATCCTTCTGCCTATAATGGCTGCACTTCTCTCCCTCTGTGTCTCAAACCTGGCTGCCATGCTGTCTCCCCAGCAGATTGGGACCTTCCCAAGGGAGGGCAGGGCTGAGGTCTTCTCTGGACTATCCTCACCCACCTTGTCGATGAAGGCAGCGAACCTGTTGTTGAGGCACTTGATCTGCTCCTTCTCCTCATGCTTCACGCACTGCGCGTTGGGGTCGATCTCCAGGTTGAGGGGTGTGAGGAGGCTCTCGTTGACAGACACGGTGGTGATGCAGGGCGGGCTGGGTCCACACACGCCGCCGGAGCGGTATCCGAAGCTGCGGCCGCAGGAGCCTGTGTAGAAGCCGCCCACAGCCATGCGGGGCCCACAGGCGCCCAGGTGAGAGAGGCTGCGGCTGCCGAAGCCCGTCAGCCCCCGGTAGCAGGACACCCCCCGATAAGGGGCAGCAGTGATGCAGCAGCGGTTGCCGGTTTTGGGGGCCACAGCTGAGCAGGAGCTGAAGGTTCTGGGGACCCCACATCCTGAGTTGATCCGGTAGGAGCGGCACGACATCCTGTGTGTCTGATCAGAGGCTGAGCCCTGTGGGAGTCGTCAGTGGTGAGGGCTGCGGGGTGTGCTGCTTACGGCCTTATGGTTCCTTACGCCTCTCTGATCTTCCCTGGTCCTTTTATTAGTGGGGAGAGCTGGGGTTGGCTGCATAAAAGGAGTGAAAAGGCATTTAATGTTGTTTATTGGCTTGGGGAGTCTGCCAGCAACTCCCCAAGGACTCATCTTAAAGGTGAGCTCAGCGGCGACTCTGGGACTCCGTAAAAGTATTGAAGATGTTATTAGGAACACTGTGCGTTTGCACTTTTCATCTTCAAAGCTTGTTTACGTATATTAAGTAATTAATTTTCTTTCTCCCTGTGAGATGGCCTCAACCCACACCTGGAGACAGATATGAACTTCACAACAGTCTGAGGTGGCTGGGTTTGGGGCAGAGGCTGGGGCTACTGTCTCAAGGAGAAGGTCTAGGGTCCCAGGTTGGGTGAGACCATGAGAGGTCATTACCCCTGGCTCCATGCAGGACTCATTCTCAAGTAAATCATTATGTTTCAGGGCTGATAGATCAGACAAGTGCAAACCCACGCAGCATTGCCTGGAAGGTGGTTCAGGGCCAGAGGGGCCATTTTGACCATGCTTCCTGTAAGACAGAGGGCTGGGGCACATGGTCTCTTAGAACCTTCTGGAATCCAGTCCAGAAGACACTGCTTCAGAGCCTTCATTTCTCATTCAGCGAACTGCAAACCACTCAATTTTCAGTGACCACAATAACAGCCATTTGTGGGTAATGGGGAGCCTCCCCTTTACTTTCTCTTGCTTGGCCACAGGATAGGAGAACCCTATCCTGGGATAACCTGGCTGCTATGAACTTGCTCTGGGCACCTTCCCTTGGCTCTTTAAGAAGAAACAGGCCCTGTGAGCCTCTCTTTCTTCCAAGCCAGAAGAGGTACTCATCCTGTTCATCAGCTCCAGAACTGTCACCCTTAGAGGAACATTTGGAGACTACTGGGTGGGAAGGTGCTTTTCTTATCCGAGGACTCTGTGATTCCTGACTCCTGGGGGCTGTGGGGTCCTGGCTCCTTCTAACTTCCCTGCTTCCCTGTGTGTCTTGGGGACACTTATGAGGATAATGATTGCTATTATGTCAATGTTCAGTGAGCACAGACATGGGGCATGTGGTCCCTGCCCCCAGGGAGTCTAGCCTCCCACCCGAGATATTAGGAGCTTCAGGAAGAAAAGCCGATGAAATTCCTCTGAAGGTGACAACTCCTCTAGGGAGCCTCAGAGAACCAGATACTGCCTCTGGGCTACCAATCCCCGAATCTTCCCTTAGATGACCAATTTTCCATCCTGGGATTGCCCTCATCTCCACCTGTCTCAAACCTGGCTGCCGTGCTGTCTCCCAACAGATTGAGAACTTCCCAAGGGAGGGCAAGGCTGGGGCTTTCTCTGGACTGTGAAGGCCGAGCCCACCACAGGTCTTCATTCAGAATCAGGCTGATTGGTTTCTATCTCCATGTTCCACACCTGTTCACCTGAGTAGGGCAGAGAGACCTTGGGCAGCTGGTGCAGGAAGAGCAGGTAGCTTCACCGTCTGGTCCCGGATGATCTTCAGAGCATAGTTACCCATAAGGAAGCCGGTTGGAATTTACAACCTGGGTGGATGGATCCAATTTCGAAGGGCCTGGTTAAATGCCAGCTTTGGCCCTTCCTTACTTTTGTGGTTTGGGGGAAGTCTTCCCCTTCTCAAACCTCTTTTTCCTTGACTGTAATGTGAGATTCATTCTTACCTTCCAGGGTTGTTGGGAGAATTAAGTAGATAATACACAAGAGTGTGATTTGGGGACCAGGAAACTCTGTATAAAGGAAAGGGACTTCTGTTTCCAATCAGAAACACCCCACCCCCGCACCCCCGGCATCCCTCACCCAGCAGAGACTGGACTTGTTCCTTGCCCCACTCACAATCTTCGCCTCCTCTGCACATTTATGACTTCTTTACCCTTTCAAGGCTGCCTTTAATGTTTTCTCTAACCTGATTTCACTAGTATAAAACTTTGGGGTGGAGTCTGGGGGTGGAGAGAGAGAGAGAGAGAGAGAGAGAGAGAGAGAGAGAGAGCTATATTGAGGAGCACAAGGATGGTTTCCAAGCCCCCAGCTCTCATCGGGGGCTGTGCTGGCTTGAGTCCAGGGGTATATATTCTGTTGCCTTGGACAGTGAGCTTGCTGACTGATGGTTGTGTAGACCTGGAGCTGATGTGTGGGCCAAGGGGGGTTCAGCCCTTTGAAAATGAGGAGGAGGGTGAGGTCCAGGTGTGGGAGGTGGAAGACGGGTGGGCCCTGTGCTCAGCCAGCTTCAAGAACCCATAAAACCTCACCCTCTTCTTGTATCCTATGAGCCTCTGCTCTCTTTCAGCTTGTTGAAGAGTATGGAAGCAGACCCATTTCTGCCTCTCTCCTTGGGGCAGGAGGGAGTGGGATCTTTTTCCTATAGGGTGGCTCCTGTGTCAGCTGCTTCCCCCATACCTCCCCCCCCCCCGCTAAACCTTCTCCCCCAATTGGGCTTAAGTACTGAAGATAGGGAAGGGGAGCCAGGAGACTTATGTTACCTGGGGAAACCCCACTGCTTTCCCAAATAAGATGCCCATCCAGGACCAGTAGAACTATCCAGATTAATGGCGTGGGCACCTGCGTGGGTGTGTCAGTAGTGAGAGCAGACCCAATTTTACACAGAGATGTGCTCATGGGCACTGGGCGAATTTTACATCACTGCAGATGGCAGCTGAGCCCAGGGCTGGTGATGGCTGCTCAGGACAGCTGTCTGAATAGCATTTTGGATTGGAGGGGCTGGGCTGGAAGGAGAGGCTAAATCCTCAATGGGGCTATTCCCAGGTCATCCAGGGCAAGTGAGAATCTCACAGACCAGGGCAGCCAGGCACAGCTGCCCTGGACCCATGGGATCTGGGCCTTTGCCATATGGTTCTACCCAAGGGAGAGACATAGCCCCATGCCCACTTCTGCCCATCATCTACCACCTCTGCTCAGTGGGACCAGATCCTTGTCCAGTGCTGGGGTGGGAGCCGGCCTCTCTTCACTGGCATTCTCTTCATTTACCACCCACCTGTGCTCTATTTGTTCCCTACACCCATCTCCATACCCTAAGCGTTCTCCTTGGTTACACCTTTGCCTGGAATGTCCCAGAATGGCCAGCCACCTTTTCCAGAAAGCCTTCATGAACTAGTCAAAAGGAAGTGGTGATCTTTCCTCCTCCCTGTCTTAGTAGAAAGCTCATAAAATGCTCTTTCCGGGGCTCCCCAGGGAACTCCAATTATCCTCTTCCACACCCTCTTGTTCTGAGTGCTGTCATCCATCACCCCTTGGTCCTGTCCTCTCCTGCCCCCATACCTTTTGAAGGTCGCATCATTGTTTGGAATTTCCACTCAAGGACCCATGTCCTTCCCATAATATAAAATGCTCCCAAGAAGTCACCTCTTTCAGGAAGCCTTCAAGAGCTAATTGGGCAAGGGAGGCTATTTACCTGACCCTGGAGCCTCAGGCAACTTCCCCAACTCCCTCTGAATCCACTCCACTCCTGGAGTCCATTTCCTGTGTTTCCCTAGAGCCCTTATCACTCCCACTTGCTCCCACCTTGGATGGCTTATCCTACTGCATGTTACCTAAGCTGTGATGCTTGTTGGGGCATGCTTGCTCTTCCTAGGGGCTTACTACCTCCCTTCCCTTTTGCTGTCTCTACAGTGCTTAAAATCCCTCTGCTTCTAGAAATGCTTTCTGGATTTGTCCAAAGATAAGTGAGCACAGATACCTTCCCGTCCTGCCCAATCAACCCTTGCAGTTCTGGATTTGTATCTGCCTGGGCTCTCTCATGGACCATTTCACCATCCTTCCTGGCTGGCTTGTTCTGTAGAATCAACCCTGATGGGCTCCCCATGGGCAAGGCCTGTCCTGAGCAGGCCTTGGTGGCTGCCCACGCGGCTCATCCACATTGGCGTCACCCATCATCTCTCCTGGTCTCCTCCACATTTTTATTATGTATCCGAATCTACACCACCTCCTGGTGCTGCGACACAGCTCTTGAAGGTTCTTCTGTGACACTTTCTTTCTTTAACTTTTATAATACTTGGGCAGGACTCAGAGACCCTATGTGAGAAGAATGAGGTCAGAGCAACAGGAAAGAACTGAATGAACCACTGGCTCGTCCCCAGCACACTGGAAGCTGGGCCCCTCATCTAGTTGGAAGAGCTGCTCCCTTGGCCTCTCCACCTTTCCTCTCCCGGACTTTCCCACCAGGAACTCTAAGAAACTCTAGTCTCTTCCCTAAAGCTATCCACACACCTTCCTGCAGGCAGCTTTCCCTGGTGGTTTTGCTGTTTCCCATAGCTACTCTGGGTCAGAGCAGATGCTAAGTAAATACAGAGCCTCTAATGTCAGGAATGGACATATTAGTGGTTATGAAATTTTTCTTCTTTTCTTTTTAGCACTAGAACCATTTCCGTAAATCTTAAGAGAAAAACAGCTATCTAAAACTGATAACTGATGCTGTCAGCTACTTGATGTGGAGTCAGATCCCTTATGGCCCTGTGCCGGAAAGATACACGGGGCTTCTGTGGGAGTCAGGTTGCCCAAACGTCTCTCATGGCAGGCTAAGGAGTTCCCTTGAGATCTTGCTTCTGGGGTACTGAACTACTTTATGCATTGCATAACAACATTTCAGTCAATGATGGACCACAAATAGGACGGTGGTCCCATAAAATTTTAATAAAGCTGAAAAATTCCTATTGCCAAGTGACATCGTAACTACCATAATGCCATAGTGCAAAGACTGCAAAAATCAACATTTGTTGAGCTAGAAAACAGCTTTAACCTGAGTGGATGAGGATGACATTGAGGAGGTCCTAGAAGCGGTTCCTGAGGAATTGACTAATGAGTTGCTGGAACTGGAACAGGAACCATTAGCTGAAGAAGAGACAAGAAGAAAAGCAATTGCAGGAGAAAAAAAGAGGAGCTTGCAAA